GAACCCTCGGCGGGAGCGCCTCCGCGCTTCCCAAGCGGCGCACTAGCGCAGTGCGCCACCGGGCCGGCCCAAAAAAATGCCACTTTTATTAAGAGTTGTTACCTAACCATGTTCTTTATATAAACTTCAGTTTTTTAATCACTTCTCATTTTCTATCCATGATTAGTGGGTCTGTATTATCCTTACTCTGTTTTCTTCTCTCCAGTGCCTTTGCATGTGTAGTTTCCTACCTCAATGCACATTAAATATAGACTTATGGATGCATTTTCAACACTCAAAGACAGATTTAAGTTAAAACATCTAACTAAGATAAATTGCACCTTAAATTTATTTGTTGCATTAATCTGCCTATCATGACAACATAATGGGAAAATAGAGAAAGAGAATGTCTGGTGCATTTTCTCTTTTAAAGTTACTTCATATTTGTTAATTCTTACATGTCTGCTCCTGGCAGTGTGAGCTGACCATCTCTTCTGTGATCCCAAAGGGCTTCTTATAAATATGCTGTATTTTCTTATAGCTCATTTCAATGTACATCAATTATGTGTTTGCATGTCTTTCTTCCTGACTAGACTACACAGCCCTTTAAACCAGTAGTCATATTTTATTTCCTTTTTTTTTTTTTGTACCTGTTGTAGGAACCAGTACCAATTAAGTACTTAATGAATTTTGGTGAATAGGTAAATACTAAATGGTTTCCCAGACGTTTATTAAATATTTAGTTTGAGACACGATTATTATTGAGATTTGAGGAAGCAGAGCTATCCAGGCACATTATAAAGGAATAGATGCCTGCAAACTCAAAGTAGTCGACACTCCTAGGCACACAGAAACACTTATGAGTAAACATAGCCCATTCATGCACAAAGAAGCACCTTGTAGATTTTACATATACTCTCATAAACGTGGCCTTGTCAACCTATTTCCCCTTTTTGTTAGGGTCACCTATCCTCATGCATTTCTTGGATATGATACCTGGAGTTACCCACTCCCCACCCATGTCTTCAGCAGATACGTAGAGTTCCACTTAAAATGTGATAAGTAGAGTTCCATTTAAAGTGTGATAAGTGGACTATATATTCTCTGCTTTCATCTGACCAGCACAGGAAGGAGAGAAAACTATTCCCTCATTTACACCACATGTTCTGTTTCTATGGATAAATCTGCTTAAATTCCACATTGTGTGATTCTGGATAATGTAGTTAACCTACCTAAATAATCTACCTAAGTTTCAGTTAGGAATAGTAACAAGAAGTAACTCAAAGCATTTTTGTGAGGATCAATAAGATAAAAGTGTGAAGCTGTCAGTATATTCACTACCAACCGTAAGAATTAAATACACAATTGATTCTATTCTATTATTGTTATACCTCGATTCATTGGAGGATCCAAATTCTACATCTAATCTTTTCAAACCAGCTTAGGAAGATACCTATAACTCTCCCTTGTAGATATGGAGTTGCATATTAATCTTAAATGCCATACCTATGCTTATCTTTATTACAATTGATTTAGCTAGTTTTGTATCTCGCTCCCCATCTGCCAACAATACTTTAGGATCCGGCTGTTCCACAGTGATAACATTTGATAATGATGCATGGGAGGACTATTCGAGGAGTCAAGGCTAGTGAATACAGCTAGGGGAGTCATGAGGGAACACTTGTGAGATGGGCAAAGAATAAAGAAAGGGGGAGAATGATAAATATAATATAACGTGCCAAGACTTGAGTGATTTCTATAAAAGTGCATGTGTAAGAGAGTTAGAAAGATAGAAGTATCTGACATTTAAAATTTTGATGTGCAACAGTTCTGGCTGAGTGAAAAGTCCTGGGAATGGCCATGGGAAAGGGTGGTTGAAATGCAACAGAAGAGGAGGTTAGTGCTAACTAATTGGACATTATTGGTAAATAGCAGGAAAACACTTATCTCTATGTAATGAGACATCAGTATAAGGAATACTGTTTATTAAAGAGAAATGAACTATTGATAAATACAATGACTCAGATGAATTTCAAAAGCATTATGCTGAGGGAAAGAAGCTAATTTCAAAGACTTACAAACTGTGTGATTTTTGTTGTACAGCATTCTTGAGAAGACAAAAGTATAATGATAGAAAACAGATGAGTGGTTGCCAGGAGTTAGGGGTGAGGCATTTGACTGGAAATGTCTGTATACTGAATAAATCAGTTTTACACTGTGTCCAATATCAATACCAATACCGTTGTTCTACAGATGGGGAAACTGAAGACTGAGGCCTGGACAATATCCTGCGGCTTAGAGAGATGAGAATTCACACACACACACACACACACACACACACACACGCACACACACACACACACGCATAGGTGTGTCTATGCCCACAAACGACTCACGAAGGAAGGGGGAAGAGACAGGATCCAGAGAAAAGAGCTGTACACACACACACACACACACACACACACACACACACACACACACACACACACACACGCATAGGTGTGTCTATGCCCACAAACGACTCACGAAGGAAGGGGGAAGAGACAGGATCCAGAGAAAAGAGCTTTTTGGAGGTTTAGTTAAATGTTTGAAATGTGAGGTAAAACATGTTTCTCAGATTTCAAGCAAAACAAAAAGAAAATAAAAACTGCAACATCCTCCTTACCATGTTTAAGTTATTAAACATCTAAAGCCATCATCTCTCATTCACATATCAGCATTGTTAAACAATTGCCAAATTCTGTGTCTGTAAATGGGATGTGTGAAAGTTGTGTGTTTTTTTTGTATCGGTTTCCTTTTAATAATAAAAAATGCTGATGTACTAAAAGAAACTAAAATTTCAAGAGTAAGCTCCCTAGAATTCTAGATTATTGCTGTTTTTGCCTCGATGAGTTTATTTACTGACAGAGCAACATTGTTTTAAGAATAGTTAAATTCAGAACATAGAGATGGAAAGATGATAATATATAATTCAAATTTACCAATATATGACACCTAAAATGTGCCTCCACCTGCCCTTTTTTCTTTACATGAGCTGTGTTGAGTCTAACTATTTCAGTCCTCTTATTTAGACATTTTCTGAAATGGCAGTTATTTGCCTTTTGGATACAGGGTCTGGATTGTTCTACCTCCCACGCCTTCTGTATATATTTTTTTCAAGATCCCTGTACTCCTTTTACATTCATATATATATAATTTCTCTGCTCAAGTAAACTTTTTCCTTAATACAATAATTAAAATCTAATCTAACTCTAAAAAAATGGGAGTGGGTATAAAACAAAGGTTCTTTTCCAGTAATGGGAAAGATCCAGAAATCATGGCGATACCAAGAATCTATAATAAAGACTCAGGACCTACTATATATGGAAAATAGGTGAATGAAGCTTCTCTGGATCTGCTTGGTCTTGATGCTATATATAAATGGGTTCATGAATGGAGGAAAAAGAAAATAGACGTAGCTCATGGTAATATGGACCATGTGTGGTACATGTTTCCCAAACCTGTGGATGAATGTCAGGCCGATCACAGTGATATAAAATACTAGGACACAGCTAATATGGGAGACACAGGTGTTGAGGGCCTTAGCTCGCTCCTCTCCAGAGACAATGCCCATAACTGTCTTAAGGATTAGGAAGTAAGAAAAAACAATGATCAGAGCATCTAGGAAGAAAGTCAAAGCAACCAGAATAACTGGGTATAAGCGATTAAAAGTAATATCAGCACAGGCTAGTTTCATGATATCTTGGTGGAGGCAAAAGGCATGGGAAAGAACATGGGACTGGCAATATGGGAACCAATAGAGTGGCAGAATTGGGGGCACAGTGGACACAAAACCCCTCATCAGTACCCCCACTCCTACCTTCATCACCCGGGAATTGGTAAGGATAGAGTGGTACCTCAGAGGGGTGCGGATGGCAATGAAACGATCATAGGCCATTGCAAGGAGGATGCCCGATTCCACAATGGCCAATGTGTGAATAAAATAGGACTGAGTGAAACAGGAACCCTGGGAAATCTCCCTCCTATCCAGCAACAGGACCCCCAGAACTGTGGGCATTGTAGTTAGTGTCATCCCAAGGTCTGTGGCTGCCAGCATAGCCAGGAAGTAGTACATGGGCTCATGAAGGCTGTGTTCATTACAAATGAGGAAGAGAAGTGTGCCGTTTCCAAAAAGGATGAAGAGGTAGATAACGAAGAAGGGAATGGAGATCCAGGGGTGAATTGCCTCTGAGCCCAGGAAACCAGTCAGCAAGAAGGGGCCAGCACTGTGGTTGGACGACATGGTAGGTTTAGCAGGCAGAGAAGAGCTTTTTCACGGGTGATGACCTCTAAATACACAGTATTCTTTCTTTCTCTCACCATCTTCTTGTAGCACATCATCTGGCCATTTTTCACCTCAAAACTTATACATTTTTATGTATTGTATCAGACTTAATTAATTATAAACCTGTATTAATAAGTCCTTTACCTAAAATAAAATAATAATAATAAAAAAACAGTAGTAATAACCATGATGATCATAGCAATTTACTGTATAGCATACAACTTCTATTCTTTCAATCAGACATTTTGTATCTGTGTTTCTAGCTTTGGCTCCTAGTTTCAAATAGCACCCCTTTGAAGGAAATGGTTAATGGACTTCTGTGGACAGCACCCAAAGACGTGTTCACTTGGTGAACTCGCAAACGAGTTAGCCAAGAAATGTCAAGGATTGCAAACAATCCTTGGCAATGCTTGAAGTCGTGAGAACACTTTCTTGGGATGTTCCCAGGAGACACAATATAGATAACTAAGTGCTTCAGAAGGGAGGTAGCGGCCTTCTGCTCTTGAAAATAGTATAACAGAATTTATGCATTAATGCTTATCTCGCATGCACGAGCTTGCTAAATGTAATAAAAGCTGTAACAGCGGCTGGGTCGGTGCTATTTGCCTGAGAGAGCAGTGGCCCCCGCTCTTCACCTGCATCTCGACTGCTGCGTCTTCCTTCGCGTCTCCGATCATTTTAATCAACACCCCTTTGGTTTCGCCTCGTTCTTTTCACTCTTTTATTCCTCCTTTTATTATTTTTCATGCAGGTCCTGGCTGAATTTCTATCAGATTTGGATTCATTCAGATTTTCTCTCTTGAATGAGAAATTATTGTCTCAAGGGTAAACTGAAGAAAATGCTTAAGCAACAGGGACAAGTCCACCACCATACAATGTTTTAGAAATATTGTTATCAATATTGCGATCTCAGGTGGACTGTGAATAAGAAGAGAACTCACTGAGTGTCTAAGAGAAATCTGAGCAGGTGGGCAAGATACTAAACTCATTTTAGAAAGGTGTGATTACTCAGTGGACTAAGGTCTCAGCAAATTTTCAGTGCTGCAAAAGTTCAGGGACCTGCCACATCAGAGACAAACTTTAAAACCAAAATAAACACAAGTTGGAAGCTCCTAAAAGAAATGTTTTCAAGAAGACACATACCTCTAGAATGAAGGCTCCCATAGAAGTCTAATGCTTATACAGAGCCATAGATTATATATATATATTTAGAAATATATATATATATATATTTAGATCTAGAATGAAGGCTCCCATAGAAGTCTAATGCTTATACAGAGCCATAGATTATATATATATTTAGAAATATATATATATATATTTAGTAATATTATCAATATTGCTACATATAAATATATATACATATGTTATATATTAATCTGAAGGGCACTAGTAGTATCAGAAATTGAAAATTGTATGCATAAGTCTTACCAAGCCACTTCTAGGGAAAAAAATAAGGACTTCCAGAGGAAAAGAGATGGTGTCCATATTGCTGGTGGAGACAACTATATAGACCCTCTAATTATAATGAATCTATAAAGCCCATATCAAAAAAAATCAAAAATGGGCTTCATAGAAGACTTTGAAATATGACACCAAATGTAAATAGAACTGCATAAATAATTACACTTTTATAAATTCAAGTTAGCTTTGTCTGCATATAATTGAGAAGTTTTACAGCAGGTTGATCATAATAACAAAGAGAATCACGAGGGAAACATTTATTTTGTGTCTCCTAAATTCAATTAAATCTATGAGTCCAGAATATTTTAAAATATTATTCTCCATTATAAACATTACTACTGATAACTCTGAAGAGGAATTCAGGAATAATGAGGTGATAGCAATCTTTGCACCATTTCCATTTCATAAAAACCTATAAAAAATATGTGTTTATATTTATAAGTAATTATTTTTATATATTACATTATATATATTTATATTTACAAATGTATAAATGTTTATAGCAATATAACTTTTCATATAAATATGTAAACATATTTATACATTTATATGTATTTTTAGATATTTTTGCATATTATTTTTTTCACCCTTCTTTATTGAAATGTATTGATTATACATATTTGTAGGGAACACAGTTATGTTTCAATACATGTATCCAATGCATGATGATCAAATCAGAATAATTAGCATAGTCATCATTATAAAACTTGATCATTTCTTTGTGATGAGGGCATTTGATCTCCTCTCTTCTAGCCATTTGATAACATGCAGTAAATTATTGTTAATTATAGATGTCTAGCTTGACTACCACATGGTAGCATCTCTAATAATTAGCAATGGATGGTGTGAGGAGATGGATAGAGGAAATGTGAATGGGCTGTGGAAGTACTGCCATTTCAGGGGACACTGTCAATGACAAAAGGCCAGTCTGGGCACTGAAGTAGCAGATACTCTGTTGATGTGGGTACTGATAGAATTGCCAACTAATTTGATCCATTGAATTATGACCTAGGGGGGCTCACTTTGGCAACACTTAGCTACCTCTGAAAAGGAGTGATGTGTATACCATCATAAATCATAATTGCTGCCTGCCCATCCCCTTAACGTTCCAACACTTACTAATAAAATTATGTAAAGAGAAGATACAGAGAATAAATGCCACAATTTGTACAGGATAGGGGAAACCACCTATTTGGATCTACTGTCACCCCAAAAGTGGACCAGAGGAAGGAAACAGGAAGAAATCTGAACATGTTTAAACTGTAATGGTGTTTTTCAAAGCCTGAACTGTGAGTTTTGGACTTTGAGTTGATCAGAGTTTAGGTACCAAAAGTGTGCCGTAACTCCTTTGACAATTGTTATTACACTTTATTAGTATATTTTTATTCACTTAAGTAGTCATTATCTGAAATCCCTAGCAGCAGCTACACTGATATTTAACTATGGCAAATTTGGTAGTGCCAGAAACTGTCTGGATACCCCATATATGACAAGAGAAATAACTGCTTAGTTTAGGGAGTCTCCTACTATGTAGTGTATTACATTAGTGACAGTCATAACTTTGGTAATATTTCTTATTATCAGACAAGACTAGAGTCTTCAGAAGGGATGCAGACAGGACTGGAACTCACTATGCGTTCACCCCATTCTGGGGGCTTTCTTTGGGTTGATTCTCTGAAAAAAGCTATCTCTGAGTTCTCACTAGTTTCTGATACATTATTCAGAGTTTCTTCAACTTGTTGTGCTGACTAGAGACTGGGAAAGTGTTTCAGAAATCAGTTATAAAGACATAAGAAGTTGAAAAGAGAAGGCAAAAAGAACACATTAGAGTCATGTTTAAAATAAATGGAAAAACATCCATTTAGTTTTTGATAATCTTAAAGCACCCTGTGCAATCAGTGTCTTCTGATTTCCTGACTACATGCCCTTCGTCTTCTCCTATTGCCCAAGAATCTGTGCTCCTTTAAAAGAAATTAGCTTAAAAAATAAAAAATTATAAGTGTATGACATTACACATTAGGCAAAACCCATAGAAGTGTACAATACAAAGTGACAATGCTAATATAAAATTAAGTTAATAATAATATATCAATACTGATTCATAACTATAACAAATACACCACACTAATGTAATATGTCAATAATAGAAGAAACTGTATATGTGGGTTGTGGAGGGTGTGGAAACTATCTGTACTTTCTACTAGATTACTCTGTAAAACTAAAACTGCTACAAAGATAAAATAAATAAAAGTCAACTAACAATAGGAAGCCATAAAATGAAGATAACAATCTGAAATATCTCAGCTTTTAAGTGATTGTTTAAATTTTATTTCAGGTATGAATTAAGATGCGAGAGTAGATGTGGAGAGAAAAGTTAGGAAACTAGGAAAAACGTCTGAAATATCTCAGCTTTTAAGTGATTGTTTAAATTTTATTTCAGGTATGAATTAAGATGCAAGAGTAGATGTGGAGAGAAAAGTTAGGAAACTAGGAAAAACGTTAGGATAGAAAGAAATAAGAGTATCTCAAAGAAGATGGACAAAGAAGTAGGCAGAGATGTAAGAGGATAGCAAAGGTGATCTGTATTTACAAAACCAGTGGAAAAGAAAGCTTATAGAAGTAGGTGGCCATGTAGTTAAATAGTGAAAAATATTATAAAATAGTCAGATAAGATAAAAATGGAAAATGGCCATTGTTTTTGACAACTGGGTCTTTGGTGATCTTGACAATTTTAATAGAATAGTAGGAATAGGTGTCTAATGACTGTGAGATAAAAAGTGAATGAATACAAAAAAGTGAAGACAATGTATTATCTACTTTTTTCAAGTAAGGAAATTGAGCCTTAGCATGTTAAGTAATTTGCCTACGGTCACACAACTAGTATGTGGCGCACAGGAATTCAAACTCAAGTTTATAGGATTCAAATCTCAACTTCATGTTCTCAACTACTATCCATTGATCCATTGAATACAAACAGTGGTTTTCCTGTCCAAGTTTATTTTGCATATGTTATCCCGTTTCCTGAATTCTGTATTTAATTAAAAAAGAAAGACTTTATGCATCCTCAGCCTTTACTCAAATTTGGCTGAACAAGCCAGTTAGAAGAGTTAGTCTTAAACATCCTTGCAGCATTTGAATCCTTGAGCTTCCTTATCTAAGCCACAGTTTTCTTTGTGGTTTCTGAGCATGACTTGAGAATTGATTTGTTCCTATATTCTCTGTGTACATCCAAAGTCCTGATGAAAGCTAAATTTGTTAAAGAAATAACTCCAAGGGAGTTGTTCTAGCTCATTTTCATGTAGGATATTTGGGAAGACCAAATAATCTTTCTGTTTTTTGTTTTTTTTCCTGCACCTGGGAAAGATCTGGGCCATTGAGGTTGGTCCCTATGGCTTCCATTTCTTGTCTGGATGGAGATCTTTGAGAGAAGCTGTGTTTTTAATATCAGATGAGGCATAACCTACCTGAGTCACTCTCAAGTCTTCTACGAATCA